TTACCCGTACCTCTACCCGGGCACACCCACATCAACTGCTCCATTAGCTTTTTCAACCATCACCTTTCTACTTGCCTCAAATTACCTGGCCCCCAAAACAGCTTTGGGAAAATTCTCTTTCTGCATTTGCTGTTTTCCTTCCACAAAGAGTAGGGAAAGGCAAAGAGAATAGCTGCTGTCCTAGAAGCAATGGGAGGCCAGCCAGGAAAACACTCTTCTGCTTTCCGTCTCCCTACCTTAGTTTGCATTTCCTAGAACTTTATATACAGTGAAGCCTGTGAGACCCAGAACTTGACCGAACTACTGCCTTGTTTTTCCAGCTCTTGCAAGTTTTCTGCCTTTGACAGGGTACAGTCACCACTTTTCTATCACTCCCTATTGGTGGAAAATACTTTAATTTTCCTTCTCTGACAGGTTTCCGCCTTATATAGGTTGTGCCTTTCCCAGGTTTTACTGTAAATGGAATCACAGTCTGTATACTTTTTTGTGTGACCTCTTTCACTTAATATAATTATTTTGAGATTCATTTTGTTGTGTGTCAGTAGTTCACTTATTTATATTTCCGAGTAGTAGTCCGTTGTCTGGATATATCACAGTTTGTCTATCCATTCATCTGTTGATGGACATGTGTGTTGTTTCTAGTTTTTGACTGTTGTAAATAAAAATACTGTGAACATTTGTGTCCAAGTCTTTATATGGACATACATTTCCTTTCCTCTTGGGTAAATACCTAGAACTGGGATGGCTGGACCACGTGGTAGATGTATGTATGACTTTTTAAGGAACTTCCAAACTGTTTTCCCAAAGTGGCTGTACCATCTTAAATTCCCACCAGCAGTGCACAAGAATTCCAGTTTCTCCATATCCTTACCAACACTTGATTTGGTCAGTCTTTTTAATTTTAGACGTTCTAATCGGTGTGTAGTAGCATCTCATTGTAGTTTTAATTTGCATTTCACAGATGATCAGTGATGTTGTATATCTTTTCATGTGCTCATTTGCCATCTGTGCTCCTTCTTTGGTGAAGTGTCCATTCAAACCTCTTGCCCATTTTTAACTGTTTTCTTTTTCTTGTAATTAAGAATCATGTAACTCATTTAGTTACATGACTATAAGTTATGAGAGTTCTTTATATATTCTGGATACAAGATTTGCAAATATTATCTCCCGGTCTGTGACTTATCTTTTCATTCTCTTCACAGTTTCTTTCGAAAAATTCAATTTTGATGAAATCCAATTTATCTATGTATTTTTTATGGATGATATTTTGGTGTCATATCTCAGAAATCTTTGACTAACCCAAGGTCAGAAAGCTTTTATCCTATGTTTTCTTCTAGAAGTTTTATAAGTTTAGGGTTTTTTTTTTTTTCTTTTTTAATCTTTATATAGCAGAAAACTGTGAACATACGGAAAATGTAAAGGAGAATTAAAACTAAGTCACAATTCCATCAGCCAAATATTTCAGTATATGACTTTTAAAATATATTTTGACACAGTTTTGTTTCAATCTTTAACTTTCATGACTATTATAATAACATAATTGATTATAGAGTTTTAACATACATTGTCATTTTGCCATACTTAACTGTTTTGAATAAATATGATTTTGTTTTTATACTACTTCTGTATTAATTTACTTTCTGCTTCCTTTTTATACTTTTTTTATTAACCACTAAGTCTGGGGTGTGTATGTGTGTGTGTGTGTGAATTTGAATTTTGTTCTACATTTTTCTCCTGCTCTGTCCGGGATCCTCTGTCCTCTATTGTGATCCGTGTCAGAGTGGTTGGTGGTGGTAGCTGGGCACCATCTAGTTTTCTGGGCTCAGGCTGGTGGAGGCTGTGGTTCAGGTGGTTCATTAGTCCTTTGGACTAATTCCTTGTGTCTTTGGTTTTCTTCATTCTCCTTTGCTCCAGATGGGATGGGACCAAATAGATATAGCTTAGATGGCCATTTACAAGTTTTTAAGACCTGATGCTACTCATCAAAGTAGTTCTTTTGGTCTCAGGGTAGATGAGGCTGTGGCTTGTGTAGGCTGTTAGCCCTATAGACCAGTTTCTTCTCTGAAACTTTGGTTTCCTTCTTTCTCTTTTGCTCCTAATGAGTAAACATGGTTGCTTGAAAGCATTTAAGACGCCAGGCGCTACTCACCTCACTAGGTTGCAGAACATGAACTTGTGAACTATACTGTGCCAATTGACTGAGTTGTCCCATGAGACTAAGGTCCTAAGCCTTCAAACTCAGAAAACCAATCTCACAAGTTGTTTGGTTATGTCTGAGAAGTAACTGTGTCCTCTATGAATATGTATGCACACACACATATCTGTACATACATGTACATATAAATACTTCTATCTACGCACACATATGTATTTCCATCTGTACCTACCCATACACATATATGCCTGTATACCTACATAGGTGCCTGGGCACTCATTTTTTGGTTATTGTTGGTGTTGTTGCCAAATGTCATGTTCTTTAGCACAAACATCCTTTTTTCTTGTGTGCTTCTTAGTGGTATCATTTACTTTTGTCAAGCTGTGCTCATGACACCCATATTTGATGCTACTTTTTCCATCACCAAAAAAAACAAGTATCTGTGATCTCTGGAGAGTGATTCCCCTTCCCCTCTCACCCGTTTCTGGTAGCCACCAATGAACATTGGTCTCTGTATATATATTTATTCTTATCTTTTTATAAAAGTGGGATCATACAATATTTGCCCTTATGTGATTGACTGTTTTCACTTAGCATTATGTCCTCCAGATCCATCCATGTTATAATATGTGCTGTGGGCTTGTCAGTGTTCTTTATGGTTGCATAGTGTTCCATTGTATGTATGTACCACATTTTTCTTATCCATTCATCTATTAAAGGCACTTAGGCTGCTTCCACTTTTTTACTACTGTGAATAATGCAGCAATGAACATAGGTGTGCATATGCCTGTCCATGTCTCTTTTAGTAGCTCTCTAGTGTATATACCTAGGAGTGGGAGTGCTGGATCATAAGGTGTTTCCATTTCTAGTTTTTTGAGGAAGCACTATACCATTTTCCATAGTGGTTGCACCATTTTACAGTCCCACTGGCAATGGATAAGTGTTCCAATCTCCCTACATCTTCACCAACATTTGTTATCTGTTTTGTTTTTTTTAATCAGTGCCATTTTAGCTGGGGTGTGATGGTATCTCATCATAGTTTTGATTTACATCTCTCTAATGGCTAATGATCATGAGCATCATGTATGTTGGCCACTTGAATGTCCTCTTTGGTGAAGTGTCTGTTCATGTCCTTTGCCCATTTTTAAATTGGGTTGTTTGTCTTTTTGTTGTTGAGTTGTCGAAGTTTTCTATATATTTTAGAGATTAGACTCTTATCAGATATGTCATTTCCAAAGATTTTTTTCCCCAGTCTGTAGGTTGTCTTTTACTGTTTTGATAAAGTGTTTTGATGAGCACATGTGTTTAATTTTTTTGAGGTCCCGATTATCTAATTTGTCTTCTGCTAGTCATGCATGTGTCGTTGTGTTTATTGAACTGTTTTTAAAATAGGTCCCATAGTTTTCTCCCAGGAACTTTATAGTTTTGAATGCATGTCTGGTTATTTTGATGAGATACCAGACATTGGAATTTACCTTGTTGGTGCTGAATATTTTTGTATTCCTATAAATATTCTTAAACTTCATTTTGAGATGCAGTTAAGTTACTTGAAAACAGTTTGAATCTTTCTGGTCTTAGTTTTAAGATTTGTTAGGTGAGACGAGGCCAGTGCTCAGTCTAAGACTTATTTTTCCCCAATACTGAAGCAAGACCCTTCACTGTACTCTACCCAGTGCCCCGTGAATCTTGAGGTTTTCTAGTCTGGCTAGTGGGAACAAGCACTATTCCTGATCTTGTTTGAGTGCTGTGTATTATTACCACTAAATTTTTCAGGTGATTACTTCTCCAGCCTCAAGTTGTTTCCCCACATACATGTGCTTATCAGTACTCAGCTCAACACTTGAGGACAACCTGCTGCAGATTTGCAGGTTTCTCTCCTCTCCAGTACTCTGTCCTGTGAACTGTTGCTGCCTTGGTCTCCCTGGACTTACAGCTCTAACTCCACAATTCAGCGAGTTCCACCTGTGGGCTCCCTCTTTCTGAGCCACAGGCTGGAAACTCTCTCAAGGCTGTAAGCTGGGACAATTAAAGTGCTCGCCTGAATTGTTGCCCAACTCTCAGGGATCGCTCTCCATTGTTGCCTGATATTTAGTGTCTTGCAAGCTATTGTTTCATACATTTCATTCCTTTTTTGATTGTTTCAGGTAATAGGGTCAGTCTGGTCCCTGTTATTCCATCTAGGCCAGAAGCAGACACACTCATGGGCAAGTTTCTTAACTTCTATTTCCTCATCTATAAAACGAAGACACAATATTTAGCTCATGATTTCTCCAGGGGAATTGAATGAGACTAATGTTTGAGTGGCACCTGGCACTTGGCAGGTAATCAGCAAATGTTTGGGTCTTTCCCTTTCACTGCACTAGGTTGCTACTTCCTCCTGAATTTACCCTGAGTTATCAGCTTAATTCCTGGCTGAGCTATAGGTCAGGCTCTCTAAGAATGATCAATCAAAGCAGATAATCACTCATGAGCCATTGAGGTTTTAACCTGAGCAATTTCAGGATGCTGTTATCCCAAGGACATTTAGGGAACAAACCTTATCCTCCTTGAATTAGACATTTACCTTCCTTGGAATCTCACCCAATTCAAACTACAGGAATTATTCGTTTATTTATAGTATGATTGTCACTAGTTTTTTAGCAGATGGTAGATAGGACTTAAGAGGACCAATGCTGTTTGAAACCCCAACATAATTTTGGGGTTTCCTACTAGGTCATGAACTTTATCCTTTTACTACCCCTTTTCTTTTTCCCTCAGATTTCCCAAGGAGCTACACAGAGAACAGACGAGTACTTGCCAGAACTTAACCACTTCTCTCTTCTCTTGTCTTCTCTCCCCATGGTAGTGTCTGGAGGCCGCAGCCGTCTGCACCTCATTGATCTTGGCAGCTGTGTGAAAGCTCTTAGCAAGAATCGGGAAGGGGGCTCAGGGCTGTGCCTCTCACTGTCTGCTCTGGGCAACGTCATCCTGGCGCTCGTCAACGGCAGCAAACACATCCCATACAAGTAAGTGGCTCTACATGAAAATAGGTTGGGGTAAGCATGATGCCATGGCTGGGTATGGGACTCTTGGCCAAGTGACATCTGTGGAGAGGTGTGTCTACAGAGGGACGGTCTGGACCCCATTGTCCGTGCTGTGCCAGCAACTAGCCTTATCTAACAATTGTGTAATGCATGATCTTCCAAATGCAAAAGATGGGGAAATACTTAAATCTACCCTAGTCCTAACTTTAGGCTGCTCAGATCAGAGAAGAGACTTTAGGATGAAATAGGAAATTATTTCTGTTGAGGTTAGTCTCCAGTCAAAATGGCCATTGCTGTGTTATTGTCACCATTATATGAATGTATGTGTTTCATAATAATGAAAGCAATGGGCAGAAAATTGGCTTACCCCTGCTCTTAAGAGTAGGTTTGCCAGATTTAGCCAATAAAAACACAGGACATCCAGTGAAATCTGAATTTCAGATAATCAACAAATAATTTTTTAGTATAAGTATGTCCTCAATACTACATGGGACATATGGGCATCCTGTATTTTATCTGGCAACCCTACTTAGGGAGTTTTGAAGCTTGGGGAATTACCACCCACCATCCTATGTAAATGTTTATTCCACTTCCAGGGTCCTTCCCCTCTTTCCATTACTGCTCCAAAATGATGAAATTACAGCTGCTCCTATGTGGTATAGCCACAGACATGACATATCATCTGTGCCCATGAATGACCCAGCCCTGGAGCTACCTCTTGCCACCATGACCCCAACTCAGCTTTGCCATTGGACAGTGTGGCAGCAGGGGAGGAAGTATTCCACTGGCTGTCCAGGCCCCTGCCAAGGCCCAGCTGTGCCACTTACTAGCTTTATGAACCACCACTCATAGAATGGGGATTATAGCTATATATTTATCTACATCATAGAGCTATTATAAGACTCAGAATGATGTAATGTGTGTAAGAGTTTTCTTCAGGGCTTGGAACTGGTTCATTCCTGTTTGAACCCCTGCTGAGAATTTGCATTTCTAACAAGTTCCCTGCTGAGAATTTACATTTCCACCTCAGATATACTGAATCTCAGTCTACAGTTTAACAAGCTCCCCAGGTGATTCTTATGTATAACTTCCTGGGAGCTTGTTAGAAATGCAAATTCTCAGCACGGGTTCAAACTGGGTTTTTTTGTAGTATGTAGAACGCTATGGCTGGTAATCAATAATGATAATCTAGTTGAGCCTATTCCCTCATTGATTTAAATGGAAATAATACCTACCTTACAGAGTTGCTATAAACATTAAGCAAATATACATGGCATCATTTCTTAATCTGTAAAGTCCTATAAAATGTAAGTTACTATTATGTAGGAGGAAAAAGGTAAGTCAGGCAGTTGGTTCTGTAATAACTAAATTCAGGATAACTCCTTGAGTTCTCCTTCCCCTCTGCCCTAAGTTGATGCCACGCTCCCAGAGGACGCTATAATTTTACTCTCCACCAGGTGGACCATTGCTAGACTGACTTCAAGAACTTAAACGGTGGTTATTATCCTGTTTCAATTCCTGAAATTAGGAATCCAAGTTGGATAAACCCAGAAATGGCTTTTCCAGCCCTTTTGGGGCCCCTTTTCTATAAAAAAAAAAAAATTTCAAGTTGAATGTTTATAATTTTATTCGGTGTCATTTCTGCAGTTGAATATAGTCATCTTGTGATTACAAAGAAAAAAAGGTCTGCAGTGCCACTGTGAGGGTTGGAGACCTTAGAAAGAAAGAGTTATTGGCCGTGGTTGGATTTCCTGTCCATAAAAAGAGAATTTTATCTATTAATGTGATAACTTATTAGATGATATGTAGATACAATTCAAAATAACACCTTATTATGAGGTCATTAATTATTTCACTTACATATCTCTTACATTGTTTCTGTACTGAGACATGCTTTTATAATTTCAATAAATATTTGTTGAATTGATGATGGGAAGGATTGATGAGTGTAAACATATCAAATTATTTTTACTTTAAATGAGTGATTACAGTTGGGTTTAATTATAAACAAATAGAGAAACAGTAATGAAAACATTAAGAATTGCCTTGATTAATAGTTCAGGGTCTCTTGTTAAATTAAGCATAAGTACCAGCACCAGTGAGCTTTAACGACCAGCATCTGCCCCTTGGGAGGGCTGATAGGGTGTGAAACCTCCTATCTTAGGGTTCTCTAGAGACGCAAAACCAGTAAGAGATATGTGTGTGTTGTTGTTAGCTGCCGTGCAGTTGGCCCCTGACACATGGCAAGCCCATGCACACGGGAACAGTACAGTGCCAGGTCATCTTGCGCCATCCCCAAGATGGGCTGTGGAACAGACCATTGTGATCCTTAGGGTTTTCATCAGCTGATTTTCAGAAGTGGACCACCATGCTTTTCATCTTCATCTGGAAGCTCAGCTGAAACCTATTTGGCATCATAGCAACATGCAAGCCTCCACTGACAGATGGGTGGTGACTGTGCAGAGAAGAGAGATTTTGAGGAATTGGCTCACATGATTGTGGGGGCTGACAGGTGCAAATTCTTAGGGCAGGAAACAGCCTGGAGATTTCAACAGTCTTGTGTCCAAAATCAGTAGGTCCGGCAGTGGGAGAGAGAGAGGAATTGTGGCATAATGTCTATTTAGAGTCTAGAGGCAGAATCCTCCTGGGGGAGAACTCCAGTTTTGCTCTTAAGGCCTTCAACTAATTGGATGAGGTCTACCCACATTATGGAGGATAATCTGTTTTATTAAGGCCAACTGATTTAAGTGGTAATCCCATGTAAATACTTCATGGCAACATCTAGTGTTTGACCACCTTACTGGGCACCGTAGCCTAACCATTTGGACACATAAAATTAAACATCCACTCACTTTTCTCTGCAAACATCCGTCTGCTTCAGTTTGGGAGTCGTCTTCCTTCCATTCTGGCACCAATGGAGTGATGACTGAAGTTTTTCTAGGTCTTAGGTAGGCACAAGGAGCCCCGGTGGTACAGTGGTTAAGTGCTTGACTGCTAACTGAAAGGTCGATGGTTCGAATCCCCCAGGCGTTCTACGGGAGACAGATGTGGCAGTCTGCTTCCATAAAGATTTATAGCCTTGGAAACCCTGTGGGGCAGTTCTGTGCTGCGCTATACGGTCTCTATGAGTTGGAATCGACCCAGATGGCAATGGGTTTGGTTTGGTTTTGGAGGTAGGCACACAGACTTAACATAAATGCTGTGTCAGCACAACATACCCTCAGGAAGTCGTTCTCTACCATCCTGATCTCTATCTTGTTGAGCCATTGGACCCTTGGGGAACAGCGTTCCATCAGCTACCCTGTCCCTGCCTGAATTTCTCATCGAGATCCTGCTGGGTTGCCCATTGCTTGGTGCCAGGAAACATGGTGGCCTGACAGTCCAGCCCTCTCGGTCCTCCCCAAAATATTTATTTGCCACTGCATTTGTACAACCCAATTGCGTCATCCCTCAGTCCTTAGTGCCCATCATTGTGTGTAAGCTTTCTAAGATCCTTGCTGTAATATCTTCTCAGATTCTCAACTTCCGCATGCATTCAGTATTTGGTATCTGGAGTTTAACATCTGCAAAGTGATGAATCAATTACGAACTAGCAGGAAGAGAAGGCAAAAATTAACTCAAATTGTCCAGCCAGTTGGTGGAAGAAGCAGAACTGCATCACTTTTCACAGCTTCGGAGACCTTGATTGTTCTGATGCCAATCCACTCCCCCATCCTCATCAAACTCTGTAAAGTATTAGCTGCCTGTGCTCTGCACAGCAGGGGTGTTCTGCACAGCAGGATGGCCCAGATTTCTTTATCAATTCAGTCCTCCCTCTAAAGCCACATTATGCATCATTTTGTTCGCATACTAAACACCTTTCACAGTGTCCGACCTCGTCTTTGCAATGCATGCCTCAGAGAGGGGAGTCTTCTGCCCTTGCAGCTTGCTCTTCTTCCTGCTCACTTACAGGAAAAAAACAAAACAAAAACAGCAGAAAATCAAACTCCACATTCTCTACTCTTCCTCACCCCTCCAAAACACACAAAAACTACTGCCTCTTCATCTGTCACCTCAGACACCTCCGTGCTTGAAACCTGCATTACTTGTGCTTGCTTCTGGGAAATTAACTGGAATGTGCACAGAGGGGATGTAGCTGATACTCATTTCTCTTCATCATTGTACCAGGCAATTTGTCATGTGAGCAAGCCAGAAGTGAGTTTGGATTCATTACCCATCCCAGGCGCTCCCACGGGCACCCTGAATGTGCCCTGCATGGTTCTGGCTTTGCAGATGATATTGCCTTCGTAGATGACATGTGCAGCCACGGAACGGGTTCCCAACCTCAGCCATTACATGACACAGCCTTGCTGGCCAACCCAAGTGCCATAAATCAGTCCTAAGGTGACGCCATTCGGAAGAGCATGCAGGGATGTCGGAGACCATCAAGGGCTTCAACCCCCTTGTCAGTGTTGCACTGACAGGATGCACAGATTACTCTCTAACTTTGGGGAACTCTTGTCTGCAGAAAGCTGTCAGAGTCCTGAGCATTTTGACAGTGCGTTTGCAAATCTTCCATTGCTCATTACAGTCGTTTGCTAACCCTCACCACTTCTTGAGTGGCAGGGTGATGGGAATCTTCCCATTTGATAGATAAGGAAGAATAGACAGGGGCATTGAAATGAATTCTTATGCCCGAAACCAGTGTTCCAGACAGACAGTACTGGGATTGGCCCCCAAAGGAGCCACCACAAGAGCTGTCAGTGTGAACTTAGCTTTGGCTAAAGTGCTGTTAGGTCCCAGCTGGACAAAAGGACTATAGTCCTTCTAGAAACTCAGAAATTGTAATCACAACCCAATTCTCTAAAAACAGGATGTTTGGTCCCTTTTAGATATCACATTCTCAGGAGTTCAAACCCTCTGGAGGCACACTCTTCATGCAGTCGTACTCCAAGCCCTGAGGCCTTCACTTTCCTTTGTAATTGCTATTCCATTTGATCATG